TCTCTCTCTCTCTCTCTCTCACTCACTCACTCACTCACTCTCTATCTCTCACTCACTCTCACATAAAACCTGTTCACGGGCGTTTGAGTCATTAATTGTAATCACAATTGAATTGTCATTCAATAGACTTTATAAACAGAGCGCTCGATATCGCAGAGCAGTTTGATAATGAGGGACAGATTGTGACGCCCGCCAAAGGCACGGCTAAGGACAAGACACAAGACACTAGTTTTGAGGGCGGAGACCAGTCGCCTGCAACACCGGGCAGTAGTGGTAAACGTGGTGAAAAGCAACAGCAGCGCACAGGCCACAAACCGGGTCCCAGTGGTGTTCAAACCAAACACAAATCGCCGCTCAAAGGGGCCAAAGATCCGAAGATCCCATTCAATAAGTAGTTTTAGTCGCGCCCACCCCTTGCGGCCCCCACTCCTCTCCAATGGTGGGTGTGTTTAGTCAAAAGTTTTAATTTTTGTTTTATTTGTTTTTAATAGTAATTGTAATTTTAGTTTTGTTTAACGTTTAGTTTTTTATTGAGAAATTTATTTTTGCCATTTTTGTTAACTTTTTGGATTTATATTCAATTTGTTTGTAAATATACTTTTTATTGTATTTTTGTTTGTTTTAATTCGTATTTAATAAATACACTTTCATTTAATTTTTGTTTTGCTTTTAAATAAGTTGTCATTAATTTTAATTCATAATTTTATTACAACTGACAAAAAAGATATGTTTTACAAAAAGCTAAAAATTACAAAATACAACTCAAATCAAAATAAATGATTTTAACAATACTTTTGCCATATCTATAGCACTACAAAATAATTACAATTACTATGTATTACAAGTTATAATAAAACCCAAAGTCTCGCAATCGGTATACATTATTAAAATTAAATTCAAATTATTTTTAATCAATAAATCAAGTGATTTCTTCATTACAAAGACTATCAATCAGTTTCTGATTAACAAATCAAGTGTTCAATTGAGACGAGTCTTAAGCCATGCATTACAACAAAGTCTTACTCTCTGTCACTCATCTCAGGTGCGGATCCGTTGACAATGTGTTCACTAAATAACTGTTTTAACCGATACTTACCATTCATTTAAACCCAAACCACACAACAGGACTCCGGTATTGGTCTCGCTATCGATGGTAGGCGCCGACCGCTGACGGCGACACAACCGGACGGACAACAGACTACTGGCGGTGGACTTACAGCCAAAGCACTCGTTTGAGACAATTGACGGCACGGGATGGCCGGCGGTGTCGGGCCTAAGACACGCTCGTATGGACGCAAACCCGATAACAATAGCTGAGACAGCGTTTGAAAGTTTGGTGACAGTGAAGCAGACATTAGTCGCGGGTCGGGTGGCGGATGCCGAGACACGTCGCTCACCAGACGCCGGACGAGTATGCAATGTGTCTACTGGTTTTGTAGTGGCCGTTTCGGGCGAACTCGTCAACTACGTGGTGACCACCGCAAAGGCCGTGGGCAATGCCAAATACGTGACACTTAGCAAACTGGGCACACCGTTTAACCGACGCTGTTTTGTGAAGTACAGGGAGCCCGAGCGCGATCTGGCGCTTATCGTTTTGCCGGAAAAGGTGGCAATGAAATCAGCCGTCGAGTTTGTCGACAAGGATGTGCTCCAAGAGTTGAAAGCCACCCGCGATGTGCTGACAGTGACCTGCGCCGAGACATACACGTCGGTCACCAGCGGTATTGTAGTCCATCGGTGCCGAACCGGCGACCAGATTATCAAGATTGCCAAGACGTACGGCTTTATCACACCCGACATGAAGTATATACAACACACGGCCGCCTTTCCCTTTGACACCTCTGGGTCGCCACTAATCGACCTTAAAAGTGGTAAAGTGTTGGGCGTGTCTTTCTATCAACAGCGGGTCGACGGGGTTCCCCTGTATTTCGCGATTCCCAGCTATGAGATCCAAAGTAAGCGACTCTCTCTCTCTCTCTCTCTCTC